CTTCCTCCAACTTGTGCACCATCCTGTTCGAAAGGTCAAGACTCGTTCGTGGTATCTATTCCAGCGGTTAGCTAGACAGCTACGCAGCCAGATTGGCAACGTGGCACAGAATGTTGTGGAGGCATTGAGTGACTTGTTGGTTATTCAGGCCGAGGTGCCCTCGGAGGGCGATGACGGCGATGAGATGTCTTCCGAGGACCATGAGGGCTCCGCGGACGCCGTGTTCAACAGTCAGCTGTACCTCTTCGAGTCCGTTGGAATCATTTCCTCGACCCCAAGTGTCGCTGCAGACAAGCAGGTTCTCTACGCCCAGTCGGTGATGAACCCTGTCTTCGGTGACATGGAACGTAACCTCGCAGCCGCCAAGGCCAACGACCAACGTGCATTGCTGCAGATTCACCACGATATCATGGCTCTAGGAACTCTCGCCCGTGGTTACTCGGATTGGCAGCCGGGTACTAGCTCTCCCTCTGCTCTCCCGGCGCCAGAGGTCTCGGCGGCTTTCGCCCAGGTGGCTGAAGCGACCCTGGTTGCGCTTGAGTCTCTCAGTTCCTCATTCAATATCCGGACTGCTGCTCGCTTTGCGTTCTCGCGGCTCATTGGTGTTCTGGGCGCGCAGATTCTTCCTCAACTGCCCCGATGGATCGATGGGCTCTTGACGCAGACTTCGTCCCGCGATGAGATGGCGCTGTTCCTCCGCCTTCTAGACCAGGTCATCTTTGGGTTCAAGGGTGAGATCTATAGCATCCTCGACACACTCCTGACTCCTTTCTTGCAGCGAGTCTTCTCCGGCATTGCCGATCCGACAACCGGAACCGATGACGAGATCCAGCTTGCTGAGCTGAAGCGAGAATATTTGAACTTCTTGCTGGCTGTGCTGAACAATGATTTGGGCGCTGCCATCATTAGCGAGAGGAACCAGTCCATCTTCGAGACAGTGATCACCACCATCGAACACTTTGCCAAAGATATCGAGGACTTCACAACCGCCAAGATGGCGTTCTCCGTCTTGGGCCGTATGGCAAGCTGCTGGGGCGGACCTGACATTGCCCCTGCCCCTGCTAATGGCACCGCACCTGTCCAAGCCGCACTCCCCGGCTTTGGTGGATTCATGATCTCCCGGTTCTCGCCTCTGTGCTGGGCACTCCCCACGACACCATCCTTCAACTCGAAAGATGCACAAGCTAAGCAGGTCCTTGCCGAGGCTGGCGCTTTGCAACGCACTATCTACTCCAAGACAGGCATGGAATATGCGGAATACTTGCGCAGCCAGGAACTGCCCGGCATGGGCATGGGAGCCGATCTCATCGAAGAGTTCCTGACCGCAATGAACCAGCTGGACGTGAAAGGGTTCCGGCAATTCTTCCCGGTATGTGCTACTGCTTTTAATCCTAATGCTTTCGACTTAGGTGGAATCAATCCAACTAACATGAAACTTTTAACAGTCATTCATCCAACGATTGAGCGCATGAAGTTTCCTTTTCTCCTCTATCTGCTTTCTAGATTCCCCCATCCATTTTCCATATTTACGTTTTGACGCGACGAGGTGACGTCTCTCCTCATGTTGTCCTGTGACTTCGCCACCTTCTATACCATCTACTCCATCCCATCCCAAGTATTCCGATACCGATACCATTACTTGCCCAACTTGAACCCAAGAATAGTGCTGGATCAAACTCTCGAGAGCAAATCAGAAAGAACAAAAAGAATTTACCTGATTTTCAAAAAGTTCCGAGTATATAGCTTACTTCTTGCTTCTTGATTCCCGTTGATCTCTTCTAGTCATGGTGCATTCGCATTGTGGTGTTTCATTTGTATCCCCCGCCCACCACTCCACAGCGTATCCTTTTTTTTTGCCCGCCCTCTCTCCTATCGGCTTATAGGTGAAACCGAAATGGCTTTTTTCTCATGTCTTCGGCTGATTTCTTTCAACTTCAATGAGTGTGAACTTAATCGAGTAGGTAGATCATGAAATGAAGGGGTAGAGTTACCCTAAATAATTCGACAGTTTATGTACAAGTGTAGTCGGCGGCGTCTGCGTCAACGACTTAAACCCGATAATCTGTTTTATCTGGCTCAAGGCGATATAAGAGACGTTATATGGAAGATCCTACCCCGATATCTTTTTTTGGATGTTCTTTTTAAATGCATACAGAGGCGTACCGAGGACCTTTCCATGTATTTCATGTATAACCCGGGACAATAATCTTGCAATAGCTGGCCGTTTGTGTGGTCTCCCACCCAATCCAAGCCAGCATCAGCACAAGGGACACCGATCATGCTCTTGTGAAGCGAACTCCCATCAAAGTCTGCGAGCGTATCATTTCCACAACCGCATGTTCCATCATTCTATGACACTGGAATTCCCGGCCTCGCTATGTCTGTTGTGTGATATCTGCTTGTTTTTCTCCTTCCGTTGGATCCGTGCCCTGTTTGAGCTATCTTTTGGCCGTATATATGGCAGGATTCAACTGCAAGCTTCCCGATATTTGTCACTGGTTATATGTTGAAAAGCTGTCTGCATATTTAAGCCTTTTCTTGCCCTTTTCTACTGTCCGTCTAGAACTTGATAAGAGGGATGAGATATCTTAAAAAAAGACATCCATGGATAACAAGTCCGCTTATGCCGACTACTCTTGTGGGTTTGTAGAGACAGCGTTTCTGCCTCAGGCAGAGATGACCTTAGATTGCTTCTCTCACTACGGTCTTCTTCCCCTAACAGGTTTCTATTTCGAGAACATAAAAGGGGTTCCACTCAATTATTGAACTCCACTTTGAAGTGTTCTATAACTATTGGCAGTGTCTTAGTACATTATTAATCATTGGGATAAAAATAGCATCAGTTATCGTGATAGTGCAGGTCCGGTGTGTGAAGAACTAACTAGCTAATCTGGCACTAAAACGACCTTATCTCACCTTCTAACATTTATATTCAGGATCGGAATCTCCACGAGATACATTGAAGTTCCGATAGTCAATCCCACAGTCCACAATGTCCCAGAATTACTTGACCGGCGCTTGCCTCTGCAAAAACATATTATACCGTATTATGTTGCCCGCGTCAGAATCATTCCCTAAGGTATAGTTTATTGTTTATCTCCACTGGCGACATTGTAATCAGAAAATCCCATTCACCTACTTACAATGTCGCTAGGTGATTATCTGTCACTGCACCAATTGCAAACGCTATACCGGCTCCAGCTTTTCCGCCAATATCATTGTGCCACAATCTAGCCTGGAGTACATCAAGGGGTCACCCAAGTTGTATTTGGATCGCAGTGATAAGGGCGGGCAGGTATTGCGTGAGTTCTGCCCTGATTGCGGTACGCCGTTCACTTCACGATCAGGCGATGATGAAGAAGTCGTCGCGGTGAAGTCGGGAACACTCGATGAAGAGCACCGACTGAGTTGTGCAAAATTGGCAACGGAAATCTACTATCATCGAAAGGATATATGGGTGGATGATTTGGGAAATGAGGATGTTGAGAGGATCAATGGTAGCATGGGCGGTTAGGGAGAAAAATTGCATCTCTTTGGGTACATATGAATCTTCAGAATCTTGGTATTCTTCGGCATAAGTGAGCATCTCACATATTTTGCTGCTATCCATTTTCATATTTTTGGCTATAAACTGAGAAGAGTGGGTGGAAGACATGTAAAATCTCATCTCGAAAGATATTGTAGAAGAATCATATAAAGTCGCGATGTCCTAAGCTCAATGACTCATTTTATTTGACCAGTCGAGGATATACTAACGGAATTCGTCCAACCATATCGTTTGCTTCGAGCATCCCCTGTCATCTCGAATTGCCTTTCTAGTGAACATAGGCTGAGGTCATGATGATCCCTCTACATATTAGAATATCCATAGATCTTCGCCCCTAAATCTTCCAAACATCTAATCATCGCTTCAGTTTTCAATTCACAGGTTCCTGGTTAGATAAGTCTCATGATGGTGAGTGAATATGGTTGTTTCTGCGTATCTTGTGGAGTAGACATTTGCCCTCGGCCTCTTTGGATGGCAAGGTACCAAGTTTGTGAGTTTGCTCCCCATGTTATTGTAATTACTCCATTGCACCGGACTCATCCGCCATAGTGTATTCGACCCTAGGCGGGACCCAGTTATCAGATGTTCATACAACCGAGTTTGACTGGTTGACGGAAGAAGCATTCGGTGATCCTAAAAAGCTTGGCCGTTGGTATTTCATGCAGGCAAGGCAGCCCCCCAAAGCTTTCTTGATCCATGAGAGCTGCTGGTTCCTCTTGACCCAGCAATTTGAAGAGGGGATTGATTTGGACAGACTTTTTGAAGTCTGTAAAGAGATTCCTCCTTCGGGAAGAATAGACTTGTGTAAGTGAGGATGGCAAGATTGGTGCCAGCTTTTTTAACAGATTTAGCGAGACAAAGTTGGGGATGGCGAATGAGGTATCGATTTCATCCTTCAAAACGACCCGTTATCAAGGGGCTTCGAGACGCCGCAAAACAGTTTCCAAAGGTGCCCAACACAGCAAATCGCTCTGGTTCTAAGAGCAGTGTTGTGCTCTACCCCGACTGCTTTGACAACCTCCCGGTTGAGATACGACTTCAGATCGCAACTTACCTTCCTACTGTCGACTTCCTAAGTCTACGACAGTCATCCCGAGCAATGGTAGTTGTCTTTGAATTCCAATCATTCTGGAAGTCCAGATTTTCAGTGAATGGAGACCGTGGGTTTCTGAACTGCCTAGTAACAGATCCCAAAAAGTATGAGAGCAGAGACTGGCGACTCATATACCGCTGCACGGAAAAAATTGACTGCTTCCGTGAGCACCTCTGGGCGGCACGGCGACGGTGGAGAAACAACCGATGGCTAAGAGAAAGATATTCGATGATTAGGGCTTTAGGCGAGCAGATTGTCTCCAACCAAGAACTACTTGGCGAATTATGCTGGACGGAGGTTTCGTCTGGACTCCGATGCGACAGAGATGGCAATAAATTTAAAAAATGGAGTAATTGCCACATGTGCCAGAGAAAGCATACCCCCTTCTCTCAAGTCGTTCTGTTAGAAAGCTCTATCATCGGCTTAGGTGTGTCTATCATACGTGAGGGAACAGAGACCTATGTTACTGGTTTGGACCTGCTGAATGCAGATCCAAAGAGGCCAAACCTAATTCTTGGGTATCGTCTGCCAGGGCAATCCGTGACAATCAATCTCTATGGTGAGCAACTAATAGGATTTGAGGTCATTGTGGGCGAAGCTGGAATCCATGCAATACGTCCGATTTTCAACGAGAACATTCCCACCAGCTGGATAGGCCTACCAAAGGGTAACGGGATCGGCATGACCACCAAACTGGTCCTTGAGCGAGACATCAAAGCTATTTCGGGAAAATTCGATGTAAGTCACGTATATACCCCAGCCGAATGTGTAGCATAGGGTAACCTTGAGTTAGTATTGCAAGATGATTGGTCTATCCATAGCATAGAACCCAGGTACGAAGAGACTTTCAATATTGTTTATCATCTAGAAATATCACAGTTTGTGACCACTTGGTTCCCAGTCAGTAACTACCACCACAGTAATACTATTAAGGCCTAAAAGATAGACTTTGATAGTGCTACATAGTTATAAGAATAGCCAACTGCTCATGCGGTCTCTACCCTTGGGTATTTCAATGAACTGATTCATTTGGCTTAGGATATTGGGATTTGATACGATTCTTCTACATGATCTTTCGAGGTGAGTCTTTAGATGTCTTTTCAGATGTCTTTTGAGGTCTCTTTTCGAATGTGCACATTATTGTTAGTCAGTCATGTCCGCACCGATGAGAAAACAGCGGAGTTTGTCAATTTATTTAGAGAAATACATATCTGTCATCCATACCATACCTTGCTGTACACGTTGATTTCTGCCACAAAATCCAGTAGGTAAATGAACTTCAATTGTTGAATTAAGCATACATATTAGAGACAACAATAAGAAAGACGGTATCAGACAGAAATCCTATATTTCTAAGACTTCCGGCGTAATGAAGCGAGCCGTTCTTCTTCAACGTTCTCTACGCTACCCCCTTCAATCATCATAGGTGGCCGCACATAGAACTCCTCCCAATTCGAGGGTACTTCCAGAATATCGAACCACCACACGTAAGAGTGTAAGGTGATATACATCCATCCAACCATTTCGAGTTCATCGTCTGTCTCACCATCATGCCACTCCGGATGTATCTTATATTCCCTTTCCTGAGGGGTCAAATTACCCCACGGCATAGACAAAATCTTGACAACAGGGCCGCAATGGGAATCCTTGAAAAGCTCAAGCGACTCTAGACAGAAATCGTCTACAAAGAGGCAAAAGTTATACCGTGTACCGAGAAAGTACTGTGGGCCCAGCCCATGGTTATCATCAGATAGAAGGGTTTCGAGTACTTCAGGGCTAGCGACGATCTGAGATAGTTGGTCTGTAACCCATGCGTTGAAGTCGTCCCGAATATCGTGGGACGTAGCTCCATTGAACTTCTCGATATCGTCATTGATAACCAGCTGATGACGCGACAGAAGATCCATTCTCTGGTTGAATTCAAGGCTCCTTTCGATATCTTCTCTTAGGTGTTGAAGTAAGCGATTCCACGCGCTCTCGTCCTTATAAGAACAGCGGTAAATAGAGAAACCCCAGGGTAAACCGCGCTTTTTACGAAACGTATTGGAGAGGGAAGCATCGATGTCCTTGTAATCCTCAAGCATATTGTACGTCTGCTGATCTTGTGCTTTGTTAGTGATCCTACGGACGCTGGTTGGAGAGCTCCGTGGTAGACAGCGCGGGGGTAAGCCCGTGGATATATGTCTGAAGATAGGATGCCGAAGCAACATGTCTCAGGGTTGAGATCCGATATACAGGACAAAATGCCTTCAATTCAGGAATTGTAGAAAAGGAGACTTTGGTGTTCGAGCCAAAAGGGGGTTTGTAGGATTTGCAGACAGAGCGATTGGCTTAACGATAGTTAGGTATCATGAACCTGATGCGGCAACTTGGGATAAACGAGCTAATCCTGCAGTGCATCCTGCAGTGCTCTGAAATTAAGCGAGACACAATATAGTTAGTTGAAATCCACTTAGCCTTAGCCTGCCAAGGGTTCTTTGGAAACCTCCATACACCCGGACCGGTACGGCCCGAATCGGATCTTCGTGCTTCTCCACTAGTCAGTCTCTGTCTCAGCCTAATTTGCGCTAGAGTGAGAATTTCGAGTATCAGGTGATGGCTACTTCTGCCTCATAGTTCTAGCGGTATGGTTAGTCCGTGCGGAAATTAGTTTCCTGCAAATGGAGTGGGCTGGGGTCCTAAACGGATATGCGTGCCAGAGCTTGAGTGCTTTTCACGAGGCTTGGCGTCAAAGTACTGTCAATTGACTCAAATTCGGTCAGTCACCGGAACCCTTGGAAGTGGAAAAAGGAAAAAGCATAGATTAGAACCCGTCGTCACATTGCTCATTTCATATTTTCCTTCTCTTCTCGGTCAACTCAAGTGTCTGTGACCGAAGGGCTACAATGATCATATTCCTGTGTCTTGCGTGGGCTGCATGGGTGCTGTTCGTCAACGGCCAACAATTTGATGGCTATGAAATGCCATATGATGATCTGGGTCTAAGCGATGCTTGCTTCGACGCAGTTAACACCACAGTATCGTCATGTCCTGCATGGGTTGCCGGGTATACCGGAGTTGAGTCTGTATCCCAATATGGTACTCAGAGGAATAATTGGGCTCGGTTTTGCTGACACTTGTAAGAGATTCGAGCTTTGATATTGTTCCAAGCGAACAACTTAGGGTCCTGTGTGAAAGTACATGTCGCTCTGATCTTGCTAGTCTGCGGCAAGCAATTCAAACTGCATGCACTGAAGCAACGGATGTGATGGTTCCAGGTGGTTCGATTGCATATCCTGGTGAGATACTCGCTGTCGAAAGCTTTTCTCCCCAATTGCCATGCTAAACCACAATCAGCCACATTCATGACCGATCGCTACCTCTATTCCACCAGTCTATCTTGCCTAACTGATCCGTTAGTCAAACAGAATCACGAAAACAGTATATTTGCTAACATCTACAATATAGTCGCTGGTTGGGTAAGAAATGGGTCTGAATATACTTCGGCACAAAATTGTTCTCCGTGTGAGCTTGGACTTCAAAATTCAACTCGAGTCACCATTTGGCTACAGTGACGAAAGCGCAGAGGCATTTTTCTCCCTAACTTCAAGCTGCAGTGCTACTGGGTATACTTTCGCGAGTCCCACCACGTATGCGCTCAATGCGACGTCTACATCCGCCACCATACCGACTTGTTTAACATCATCATACTCTGTCCAAGCAAATGACACATGCGTGACAATTTCTGCAGCTAACAAGGTCTCAACCGACAACCTAATTTCTGAAAATGCTCTCGATGTTGCCTGTAACGGGATATCTGAAAGAAAAACACTGTCTCCCAGAGACCTGCACAACATATCAATTGGAATTTGCCGATACATGTGACTCGCTAGTAAGCGATCTCAACATAATATTTGCTCAATTATTGGCCTGGAACCCGAATACTAACACAGGATGCTCAAACTTGGCATCCTGGAGAGGCTGGTATCTTTGTGTCAGGTAAGGGGGTCTGTCCAAATTCGGCGTGCTCTTGATTTCTCAGTACTGATTTGAACGTAGCTCGCCAACTGGTACAGCCATTGTGAGCGAGGGCTCCAGCACAACTACTGCTGTAGCAGAGCCTACTGATGCCCAATCTCTATCCAACGCCAATTGTGCGAAGTGGCATGAGGTGTGTGGTGAAATTCAGCCTGGACTGCTTTTAATTTTCCTAATAATTCTCTAGGTCTTATCTGGAGAGGACTGTTCGACGATCTCACTCAAGTATGCCATTTCTTTGAGTGACTTCTATTCCTCAATCCACAAATAGATTCAAACTGCACAAACCTATGGCTAGACACGTCCTACTGTGTTGAAGCAGTAGGAAATATTGCTACTTATACCGGATATGTCACCTCCACTGCAGCATACATTTTCACGAAGCCTGCCCCGACAACATACACCCCGACCCCTGCTGCCACGGCTACCCCTGAGCCCACAGCATCTGGTACTATCTAAGGGTGCGCAGTTTATAATAATGCGTTTAGTTCGACTATCGCGGATGCGGCAGCGGTGGATTCATGCGATATCTGGGCCAGCATCGCAGACGTCACCGTCGATGATCTTCTTAGCTGGAACCCGAGCTTATCAGCCAGTGACTGTGCCTTCATGCCTGGGTATAGTTACTGCATTGTTTCTGGAGAAAAAACTAGCAAGTTTTACCCCTAGTCCTGTTGCCGCTATAAACAGCCCTAACATCTTCCTAGCTTCCCAAGTTCTGCCATACAACTATTGCTTTGCCCCAAATAGTAGTCTAATTTCCTTAACCAGTGTTCAACCATCTGATTGCAATTGCTATATCCAGCTCCGCGCTGCCGATAAGAGTAGGTTTCCAGACGACATATACTGTCAACCAAAAGAAAATCAGATCAAGGTTGCTGACGTACTCGCCCTAGGTGCTTTCAACTGCACGATGTTTTGGTCTCTTTTCAACGTCTCTGTCGCCACCGTCACCTCGCTTAATCCTTGGATAGGTAGTGATTGTGACGTAGGTGTCTGGAACGTACTCTCTAGCGATGGATTCGAACAAATATGCGTCGAAAGGAACTCCTCGGCAGTTCCTACTTCTAAGACCTCAACGATATTAGCGTCTACCTCCACCATCAGCACAACCGCCACTCCGCCAGCGGAGGTCATGCCAGATGAAGCTTCCACCTGCAACAAATGGCATACTGTGGTGTCGGGCGACGGTTGCCAAGCCATTGCTGATCAAAATGACATCCTGCTGAGCGACTTCTACAAATGGAACCCGAGCGTCGGAACAAGTTGCTCATCACTGTGGCTTGTATGCGCTATCTGCGTGGGAGTTTCATTTTAATATGTGTACCCTTGCTCGTTCTGTTGCCTCCTTCTTAGTGAACGAACTACAGCGTTGGGAAGCGTGAAACCCCAGATCCTCTCCTTATCATACGGGGTGTAATAGTAAGGTATAGAGTGCCGCGTGTAGAAGGAGAAGATACGCCGACTTGAAAAAGAGAAGTTGAAATCAAATGTTATATATAGAAAAGGCTTTTATATAGAATATACCTTTTTGACAGTCTTTTTATACCCTTAAAAAAGACCATCAAAAAGACCACCAAAAAGACATCACAAGGTCGTATAAGCGGCCGACTATTCTTATTAGTATATGAGGCAGTATCCAATGAGAGAGTTATGTCCAGCGTGGCATATTAATCGCCCGTAGTTACCAGTGAAAAGGCGTTTCTAGCGCCAAAAGTGGTCATTCTCGGCATCCATTTCATAGGTCCTCATATTCGTAAACTATACAGAGGACTCTTATATATAACTGGGGAGACTTCCGTTTACCGGATATAGCCGAATCTTCTTAGCATCAGTTTTGCCTTGTCATTCAGGATCCCAGACTCATTTAAATCATCGACCTAACAACCTGGCGCTCACTTGAGCCAAAAGAAGAACCAATCAGATTCAGTTTACAAAAGAAATACGCAAGACACGAAAACATCATAGTTTTGAGATTAGGAGTTAAGAGGAGAGCACACACTATGCAAAGAGATACTTGGCTGCATGCTCAACATGGTCATCCGCAAAGGTAGCCATGGTATAATAGGAGTGGTCATAGTCGGGCTGGTAGCGAACGTTCAAGCCGGCGATGCCTGCGTCACGGGCTGCGGCTTCGAAGTTCTCTGGTAGGAGTTGGCCTTGTTTGTAGAAGTTGTCGCCGGTGCCCTGGATGTGAATTAGACGTCGTACGAGACACAAAATGGATGGAAGAAGGTGGAAATAGAAAAGCAAAAAAAGAAGAAACTCACCACATCAACCAGAATATCCAGCGGACCCCCACACCACTTCTTAATCAACTCAGTAGCATCGTGCTCCTTCCACTTATCCTGCTGATCATCGCCAAAGTAGCCCTTGAAGGCCTTCTGGCCCCAGGGGCAGTTTGTCGGGTTCGTGATCGGCGCGAACGCAGAGACGGACTTGTACTTGCCTGGGTTGCGGAGGAACTGATTGATTGATTGGTCAGATAAATGACACTCCAACAAGATATATTCTTTCTAGCTCCTATTCTATACAGCGAACTTCCGAATATGATAGGTAGTGCATAACTTACCAAAGTGAGAGCACCGTGTCCACCCATACTGTGGCCGGTGATACTAACACGACTGGCATCCAACTGGGGGAACGCAGCAAAGACGGTCTGCGGAAGCTCGTCGGTGACATAGCTATACATGTTATAGCCGGCATTGTAGGGGGCTTTAGTGGCGTCGACGTAGAACCCGGCGCCGGAGCCGAAGTCGTATGCGTCGTCCTCGCCTTGGATGTTGAGGCCGCCTAGAAAATGGATGTGTTAATTATATTTTTCTGTACATTTCTACAGGATAACTTGAATTGATGGAAAAATGGGCAATTGACGTATTAAAAGATAAGGTAGACACATACGTGGGCTAGTATCAGGGTACAGCACTGCAATTCCCTTCTTGCTCGCGCTGTGTTGGAAAAAGCCCTTCTCGGAGCAGTTCTCGGCGGTGCAGGTCAGACCGGATAGGTAGATCAGTACGGGGACCTTCTGTGTCTGGGCTTGCGGGGGCAAGAAGAGGTTGAATTTCATCTCGCATTTTGTAGTTGTGGCGGCATGGCTTAGCTTTAGGAGTTTGCCGCCGAAGGAGGCGATGGTTGCGTTTGTGGTGACGGACATTTTGAGGATGGAGGATGTGATAAGGGAAAAGGAAACAGAAAACAAAAAGCTCAGAAACCGGGAAACGTTGACGTTTTTATGGTGGGGGGTTTTTGTCCCGCATGAGGGGAAAAGGTCCACTTTGATAGGATTATTCTTCCTATTTGGGAATTTTATAGAACTACTTTGTACATATGTTGTAGAATACTCTATATATCTAGGTGAGATTTGATATTAAGACTTGCAGCTATTGCACTGGACATTGCTTAGTCTATTAATTGCACCTTAAAATATAACAGAACAGTTGGACATTGTTTAGTCTATTAACAGTTACCTCTTTGAAAGGTCGAGAATGAAGAGTCAAATCAGATTGCTGCCCACAGTGGGGGAAACGCCAAGGTATATATACATCATAAGAGAGAAATAAGAGAAACGTGACTCCAGATTCACTCCAAAAACACCGGAACCCCATAAACCACTGGCGCCGCGCCGTTGAGATACCTCAACACACACGCACCTCTCGATTGGGCAATTGCCGTGTCAAGCCCAACATCCTCCCCCCGGCTCTTTTCCTTCTTGTCCTTCTTCTCGACCAGACCCCACGCGTCAAAGGCGGTCGTGGTAAACCGGTCAATGTCCCGATCCGTGACATCCCACAGCGTAGCCACGAGCGCGGGGCTGCCTGCATGGAGATAATTCATCGGCGTGCCGTAAGGCTCATACTCGCCGGCTTCGGTCAAAGTACCGCTGCTACATCCCATGAGGAAAGTAACAGCGCATTGTGTGAGTCGCTTGACCGTGCGGCCACGGATGTACTGCGCGCCGCTGCCGTGGCCAAAGTAGAGAAATAGATCCTTCCTTTCCAGCGCGTCGCGGAATTCGTCTTCGGTTGGTTCTCTCTGCACGACTGCAGTCCAGGATTTGAATCGGGAGAGGTCTTGTTCAAATGTGGTTTGTGTTGTGCGCAGGTCGCCTGTCGGGTTGAGGATAAATGCGCCGGAATTCCGGTCCACGATGGCTCCGGAGGATGCCTTGCGGAATTGGAGGACTCGGTCCCGGAGGCACTCGAGGGATGGGACGCGACAGACAGGGTATCCTTGGAGACAGGGAAGAGATTCCCATGGGAACAGGTGGAGAGCTTTATCAAGAACTAGGATTGTATGTCTCGGCGGTCGTGCCGCAAGTTCATCGTGCGCAGCTTCGTGATAGCCTCGCAAGGCATCGAGGGTATCTACGACCATCATGTCGAAGTCAATCTCGTCGTAAGCATTGCGCTCACCCTGGAATTGTAGAATATCCACCACGAAGTAAAGAAGATCCATCAGCGTGTCTTCGGGCTCTTCTTGCTCTTCAAGATCACGAAGCCCAATGAATAAGTCCACTACATTCTGATGTAGTGTGAGCCGGGGTCCGGCGGCCTTGCCACCCTTCTGCCGAGAAGGAAGATGCTTGTCAAGGATGTTTTGGAAGGTACTCGCGAATCGGGCCAGCGCGGTAGTCTCCCGTGACAGCGGCGAGAACACACCGCGGAACCCTCCAAACCAAATGTTCTCAATGTTTTGAAGCACGCTTTCCATCCGACGATCGAGCGCTTCGCGGGTCTTCCACCATTCCTTCTTCGACAACTTGTCCGTCTGGGCCTTAGCTGCATGTGCACTTTCATTGGCGAGCTTAATGAGTTCTTGCATTTCCTCTTTTCCATCCTCAAACGTGAACTGCTCTTCGTCATCATCTTCCGAGTTTCCTCGGTGCAGGGGAAGACGCAGAAGGAACGGTGAGCGGTCTTTTTGGAGTCGTGAAACCACAAATTCGGTACGGTCTGCACTCAATGACAAAGAGAGGACATTCCAAGTTTCGGGCAGAATGTCGACGTAATCCTGTGTGAAGTTGGTGCACAGATCATTGTCCAGCTCGATAGCTGAAGGGAACGACGCTGGCCAGAGAAGAGGGTCGGCAAAATCAGCCAGCTGTCGATCGATATCAATCGCCATGCGCTCCCGAGCAAATGCGCCAACACGTCCGATCTCTAATTGAAAAAGTCAGATATACGCCAAAGCCGGAATCTTTCAAAACTTACCATTCATATTTGCGGGCGACTGAGCCAGAGTCGCTGGGATCCCGGGAGAAGTCGCATGTGATAGCATAGAGATCCGACTCATCAGGCGAGATGCCGCATGGCTATCAAGCGTTGAGCCTAGAATTGTGGCATCAGAGAAGACACTGGCAAGACAATCGCTCGCCTTAGACAGCATAACCGAAAAGTCATCACTGGCTCGTTGAGCCTTAGTGCGCGTTGTTTTGGCTGGAGCCCTTGTTCTCCTTGTCGACGGCTTTACCGGGGGTAAACTAGGCTCATCTGCCGTCTTGCTTGGTGTTTTGAGCGACGGTAGCGAGATTGTAGATTCAGGCAAGACGCAATACACAGCATGGCTAGCAAAACGGCGAATTGCATCAGCCAGCAGATGCTCGCTTTCGCCAATTTCCAGAGTGATCTTGCTTTCTCGGGCCACGGCAAATTGTCTGGCCTCTGCAAGTATTTGCGCAGATCGCTCAAAGTCACGCAGTTCCCGGAGGCAATCAGCTTGTTGTCTAAGGATGTTGCCCTTCAGTTGTAATAGAGATTTAGATTGGACTTCGGGCAGAGTTGGGTTTGGAGCTGGGGCTTTCTTTGTGGTTCTGGTAGTAGCGGAACTGGTTGCACGGGTCCTCCGAGTGGTAGTAGTCGTAGTAGGTGTTGGTGTTCGAGGTGTTGGGGTCCGCCGGCTGCTTGCTCTAACCCGTAACTTGTCCATCTTTTCTTCAATTTCTGCCATGCCTGCTGCCTCTAGATTGGTAGGCACATCGGCAGAGATGACCGTTGTGATGGTCTTATCTGCTTCAAGAAGAACACGCAGTGCCTTGTCATGTGCACCCTGCGTCTTGTACAGAGACGCAAGCGCCATTTGGAAAGACACGGTTTCAATACTTTTCTGGGTTTGTTTAGACGACTCGGCCGCTGCAGAGAGTTGATCCTGTCCCTCACTCATGTGACCACTAAGAACCCAATGGCAACCGAGTTGTGTCTGCGCCGCAAGTAGCCGTGCATTGGCATCAAGGGTCTTATCGATTTTCAGTGCTTGTTCGCCATAGTAGATAGCATCCTGGAACAAGCCATGGTGGGCAGATAATGTGGCAAGGTTCAACAAGCAAGTATGGTGGGAACCCAGATGTGGCCAGAAAGGCGCACCTTGGATGTAGCTGGCAGAGACATCCGGAGAAGACCCGTTCTGGGACAAATCAAGCTTTGCGATACCATCAGCAACAGCCTCAACATCAGGATTTCCCCCAGCAGGCAACATCTTGTCTTGTTTTCTTTGTGCGAGTCTCTCAACCTTAGCCCAAATGCGGCAATTGAGCCTTACAGACAACTTTGCGAAGTACAGAGCCTGTGTTGCTGAGCCCTGTGCGGAGAACAACCTGGACTGAACAAAGGCAGCATCTGCTACCAGTCTTTCCCATGAGATCTTCGACAGGACAGTCAAGTTGTTTAGTTCTGACTTCTGGCATTTTTCATAGAGTGAGCGGGCCGCTGAAAGAACGGCGGCGGCTTTCTCGGGCTCTCCGGTCTCCAGAAGATATTCCACCCGTGCAACTTGGTAGGAAATGGTGGCAAGAGGAGAAACCTTACTTTGAGCAAGGTACTGCTCACCACGCGATAGGAGTTCACCTGCCTTTTGGCAGTAGCCCAGACGGCAATTCTGCAGTACCAAGCGCGAAAGAATGATGATAGGGTCTGACAAATCCCCTGATTGCTGGAGCTCTGCGGCACGCAATATCAGTTCTAGGGTGCATAGTTGAGCCTTCCAAAGCCCGTGGATTTCGGTATAATCAACCAGAGCTTTCAACTGCAAGACCCAGTACTCCGTGTCATTGATACAAAGCAGCAGTGTTTTCCAGTCATGGGACTGGCGCACCAGTAAAGTCCATGATGCAAGCGTGTCATCTAGTTCGCTTGCGTCAATCTTGCCGCGGTGGAAACCGATCGTAATGCGCAATGAGTTGCTGATATGGATTGCAAATGAAGCAAGATCAAGGTCATCTCGGACTTGCAAGCCGCCATCCAAAGCCTCTGTTCCTGCATTCAACAGAGTTTCAACCAAGGACGAATCCAAGGCAGTAGGCTGCTCCAGTAGGAGCCGCAAGGCGGAAAGAATCACACGAGAATGGCGAATAGGGTAGACGTCAGGGGGATAGAGGTCAAGGAGGGAGGAAACAGCCGAGCCAAGAATCAAGCGAAACTCTTCTTCGTTTGAAGAATAGCCATGCATGTCAACAAGCAAGCTCATCTGCCACTCGAGAAGAAGACATCTCTGTTCGAATTCTAGTTCAACATTGTCATAGACGACAGAGGGGTGAGATCCCTTCCTGCGCAGCTTCATCTTCAGAAGAGCGGAAAGTACACGGCCAAGCATGAAACCAGAGCTCTTAGGATCCTGGTTAAGCGAACTTAGATTGTGTCCTCCGCTGATCTTGACGATCTGGTCCAAAGTCCCAGAAAGAATGTATTCTTCGATTGATTGCCGAAACATCTGCTCTGAGTCAATGTACATATTGCCTTCAATATACAGATGAGCCATTCGTTCGAACTTGAGGGCTGCAAATGCTGTGTTGCGTTGAGAGGGTGAGCAGCTTGAAAGCAGCTGGGTAGATTGTTTGAGAAGGGGTATGAGTTCCCGATAACCCTGTCCAGCCTCTTTTTCTTTGATGTATCGCGACCAGTACAAGTTTGAAAGCTTGACAAGTGCCATTCCTAGGTTTTCTGTTGTTTCTGTATCTTCTTCATCGGGTGATTCAATAGTTGAGAGCAGGCGATGGCAATCAGCCAGAATTGGAAGCATATCTTCCCAAGGTGGCCGCTGAGACATGATAGAAAGCTTGCCAATTGCGACAGTCGAATCAATGGCAGCTAGAATGATGCTCCTAGAAATTGAAATGCGTTTGTTGAACATTTCAATCTCCTTTTCGTCGCCATCTTCTGTTGGTTGGCGTCCAACATAGCGTCTGAGGAACCTTATGAACGCTTGTAGATATTCCCTGATCTGACCAGCAACTTCGTTTTTCTCGCTTTCAGCCTCGAAAGTTTTCGTAATAGCCTCTCCGAACCACGCAAGAGCCAGCTTCTTCAGTCTTGCAGCTTCCACCAGCAGTTCATCCAGGTCGTTTGCGCTGCCTCTTAATTGCAACCCTAGTGATTGAGTCGCCTCTGAAACAGAATCAAGGGCTCCATCCAGGAACCTTTTCGATGTCTTCAGAGCCTGGAAATGAACAGATGCAATTTTACATCGAACTGTTGCCAGCGAAAGAGACTGGGTCTTTGAGAGGGGGTTGATGGCTTGTGTGAACAGCTTCATAGATTCATCAAAACACCCCGCATCAAAAGCGAGCTGCCCAAGCAGAGTCATGAGCTTGGCAGCCTGGTTGGCGTTTTGTGTTTCCGAGGACTTCTTCTTGACTTCTGCAATGGATGTTTGTAGCCGGGTAACCGTTTTGTAGATTGAAGCAAACTCAGTTTTCTCAATACCTTTGCTCCGGTGAGAAAAACTACCAAAATAACGAAGCAAAGGATCGAATACTTCCTTGCTCTCATCACAGACATGACCGGACAGCTTCCAGCCCAAACATCGAACCTCGAGGGAAAGTAGTTGCAAGGTCAATGACGTCGTTGGCTTTAAACCGTTCGAGGGCTCATCCTTCGAGAAAGATGTCCCCGAGCAAAGCGCTAGAACTGTGTTTGATAGTAACTGGAGTTGTAGAGCAGCTTTGTCATTCGATAATTGACCCGATTTCAGGGCAGCCAGAATAACTTGAGCAGGGCTGCTCAAATCCGAGAGTTGCAGAGATGGGCAAACCTTCTGAATTGTGGAAGCTCTTCGATCTGCAGCAAATAGCCGCATAACATTCGAGTGGAAGGGAACGAGCAAGCCGTACAGCGATTTCGCATTCGAGATATGAGCGAACGTCAAGAGATCCGACATCCGTTCCTTCGAAGCTTCTTCGTCCGCCGCATCCTTCGCTTCGGCAGTCTTCTTCCCGGCCTTCCCGCCATCCAGATGTTGTTGGATTCTCCGCTTCAAAAGTCGGAGCTCTTTGTATGCCACATCGTTCAATCCCAGTGAGATGAGCTTTCCCGCTAGAACACACAGCCCCTGCTCGAGCTGCATATTCGGGAACTGGTCTTTCGTAGCGTCATTCTTAAGAGTACGTAGTGTGGACAAAGAAAGCCTTGCGCACTCTGCAGCCGAGACAATGCCCGCGTCCGGGCCATTGACAGTATCGGGGGTATTATTTTGGCGCTTCGCTGTAGATATCTTCGCGGCATCCGTGAGGGTCTTTAATGTGGCATTGAATACCTCCGTAGAAAAGACCAGCTTCTCCTGAGACGACAATGCCGCAGCGTCGTGATCGGTCAATGATTGCAGCGCCGTATCATTTGCAGGTTTCGTCTTCGTTGCGCGGGAAGTTCTCGTTCGACTCGGCGTTGTGGCTGGTTCTCTTGTGGACTTTGTGCGTTTCGTGGGTTTCTCGGGCATCTTTGGCGACCCGCGGAGGAGTGTTTGGAGGGACAACACGGTAGCGTCGGAGCATGTTGTCGTTGAGCGGAGGGCCTGTTTCACAGACTCTGTTAAAGAGCTGGCCGGTAAGACGGTGACCGCCATTTTCCTGGTCGTTTTATCGAAGCTGCAGGACTGAGGTCATCGCTCGCGTCGAGCCTTTGATGTGCAATCGCTATCGGCCGGACACTCTAAACGGGGGTTGTCGCAGCAACAACAGAGCTATACCGTATTTGGAGTTGATAGCCTTATCGCCTCAGGCAATACCGACCTTAACTTTTCCCGCTTTTGAAGACCGACGGTTGCTGCTAGACGCAAACAGAGGCTATGGCTTTCAGATTCAGGCCCTCTGGGCTTAGCAGGCAGATACTTTCTGCTCCTTCTCCATTAAATGCTACCAGACAATGCCGCGCTCCGGCCGGGCGCCCATATTCGACCTCCGATCGCCTTCCGAAGATCGCGGACACGTCAGTATGGACGGCAATGATTCCCCGATTTCTTCGGGGTGGCAGAGCGCGCAAGGATCCCGCGAAAGAGAAATCTAAAGAATGGAACCCGGCGACGTTCTACATCATAATGTTCACTCTGATCGGCTCGCAGGCCATTCGCATGCTCACTTTGAAGAACGGCTATGCGGCATATACTCGGACGACGGATGCGAAGATCGAGCTTCTAGCGGAGATCATTGCACGAGTCAAGAATGGAGAGAAAGTCGATGTGGAGAAGTTGCTTGGAACGGGCGATGAGGCAAAGGAACGAGAGTGGGACGAGGGTGTGTTGACCAATATCTAACAATACTATTATATGGCTAGTGTCTGACTATTTCTCTCTAGTGCTGCGCGAGATTGAGGCCGAAGATTCCCTATGGCATGAGAAGAAGACCTCCCAGTCGAAAGCAGAGAAGGTCCAGGAGCCCGAGAAAGGACAAAAGCAACCCACACAGCCTACGGAAGACCAAGGCACCGAGGCTGTCAAGACAGAGTCTACACGAAAGCTTAGATTCTATTGAATAGGAACTAAATTCGATCCTCATCAAAAACGACCTCGGGGACTTCGGCCTTGAGAATTGGTCATGTGGGCTCAGAATATACACCGCCGAATTGGGCCACTGCCGTCTCAATGATGTCGAATTGATCTTCAAGATCAGGATGGGATTGCTTTCTAACCACGAAAATTGGGTCTAGCATTTCCCACGCACATGGACCTAGTCCATGACCAATATATCCTCGAGGATATAAATGCAACATCACCTATACAGGGAATCTTTCCTCAAGAGTAGATTCCGATACCCATTTGTGAGCTTGCACATCACGCTTCATGTACATATTTTCTCAAACTTGGGACAAACAACTCAAACCCCAGAAACCATGACTTACAGTGTAATCCAGTGCAAACCACAAGATCAAATGCACCCAAATGCTTCCTTGACCTGTATGGCATCTATCTGCTCTCTAGGCACGACTAAGATCAACCGTGAACTACACATGGCTACTGACAACCACATGATAAAACAGGAAAATATCAACCCAAACCAGATCTAGATTGATAGAAATACCACAACCAGGGCCCTCTATGACAACCCACACCGTCTTTCCAAATCTATCTGCTGTTGATACAATGCAAACATGGGTAGTCTCCGAAAGACATCATGATGCAAAGGGGGGATGCACGTCCCAAGTCAAGCCCAACTAAACCACAAAGAAGGCGGGACATGAAAAGGATCCGAAAGAAATGTGAGAAAGATCTCATGCTAAATCGAAGGAAAGACAGGTCTTGACCAAATGAGAAATGAGAAACATGTCGCTAGTAAAAAGGAAATGAACGAAAACAAGACCAGAAATGACAGCTTCACTAGATAACAGCAAGCCTCTCTACTTCGAGTTCTGCAGGAACTTGGGCCAGTTCTCGGGCCGTGGGACCTGCACCCGGCCAATGTTCTGGTCAATATCAAGGATGAGCTTGAGCGCATTCCTTGACCGGAGGTAAGGCAGAGGCGCCTTAGCGCCCTGTCCGCCGACACTGGGCTCGACGTTACCAGTGGGTGAAATGGGCTCACCCTCACCAGGCATGGGCAAGGCTTTCTGCAGGACCTCGTAGGCGGCCAGAGTGAAACCAAACTGAGGTGAAGAACGCATGATACGGGCGGGTCCACCCTTGAAGAAGGCGGCGAGACCCTCTTCTTTCCAAACGGTAGTAGCGCAGTGGCGGAGACCGTGGTACTTGGTGTCACCCTTGCGAGCTTCGACTTGCAGACGGGTTTTGATCACATCACAGGGGGTGGTTAGGTAGGCGGCGGGCATACCGGCGATGGCACCGGCGGTGAGGAGCTGGACAACGCCCAGCTTGTTTGTAGCGGTTTCGCCGAAGAAGTCAGACTTCAAGTGGGCGTATGTGGGGAAGTAGATAGCCGAGAAGGGGACATCACGAAGGAGACAGGCACTAGCTCCCTTGTACAAACCCACCAAACCCAGATTCTTGACAATCCAGAGGGCTGAGCGCCGAGGGGCCCCCTCAACGTTCTTTGCGATTTCACCCTGAACCTGCAGACGGATTTTCACAATCTCAAGGGGATTTGTGAAGACAACTTGACAAGCACCGGCAGTTCCACCAGCCAAAACCTCTTGACTGTATCTAATCCTGTTGGTTTCCTTGTCTGTGAAGAAGCCACGAACGAGATCGTTCACAGTCAGCTTGATAGCCTTTTCGGGCGCGACACCAATCAACTGAGGAATGACACCAGAGTACAGGCCAGTGAAGCCCTCATTGCGGATAACCTTCCTAGCGCAGTCGAGGGAGTTGTTGTACAGCCTCTCTCCGGGACGAGACGAACGCTGGTTCTGCAGGCGGGTCTTGACCAGATCAATAGGGTAGACCATGAAAGCACCAAAAGCACCGGCGATACTACCCAGAGCAAAGTGGTGTGCAGACTCGAGAACGCTGTGAAGCACAGTCTTGGTCTTCTCAGCAACTTCCTGTCCGGTAGCCAAGGCCTGTTCTGCAGCGATCATGGGGATACGCCATGAAGCATCGATGACCTTGGCGAAGTCCTTCTGGGAGAGACGTCCGGAAGGCGCATCCAGTCCAGCGAAGTGGAACAGAATATCGGCTTCCATGGGTGTAAATTGGGAGAAACGGGTGACGCGAGCGGCCTCGTTCAGGAAGTCGGTACGAGTGATCTTGCCATCTCTGCTCTTCTTTGTTGCTTCGCTGACAACCAAATCAATGATATCCATCTCCCGCATGACATTCTGGAAAGCACGGACATTGGCGTAGGAGATGCGGTTGCTGGTCGAGATATTGCACAGGGTGGAGAGGTTCTCCAGAACATGGTCGGACAGCTTGTGTTTCGAGGTCTCGAGGATAATGCGTTGGAAATCCTCGGGCTGGATAAAACCATCACCATCCTTGTCGAAAATGTGGAAGGCTTGGCGGATGCGCTCACCCTGCAAACCGCGCAGCATCTGGGCGAATTGGGGGTAGGTCATGTCGTGGCGAGACTTGGAGCGGCCTCCGTACAGCGATGCCCATTCTGAGTTCCAATCAAAGGGAATGCTGTCAGCACTCTTGTTCATGTTGTACAGTCCCTGCACGGTGTCGAACTTGACATTGCCGGTGCCATCGAAGTCGAAGAGGCGGAAGGCGATCTCGTACTCGGCATCGGGCTTCGCGAGGAGGTTTTCGAAGGAGGCCCAATCGGTAATGTTCAGCTTGCCAGTTCTCCGTCGGTCTGCAACGCTGAAAAGAATGCCATATTGTTCGCGCTTAATCTTGTGCTGTTTGGAGGAAACCTGGTCAGCAATTGCAAGAATTTCGGTACTTTTGCAGTCCCTGGTAACACTTACATAGTCTTCCTGCTTAGGTGCCACGGCATTAATGAAGTTCTCCTCATTCATGAAGAGTTCACCATTCTCATCCTTTTGCGCATGACGGACAAAGTTCGAGCGCAATTGGTGGGACAGCTGAGGCGCCTCTGTGCTGCCCAGAAGGGATTCCTTCACAGCTTCTTTTACGCTGGCCATTGTGTATGTCCAAGTTGACTTTTAAGTCCTAAACCAAAAAAAATCCACCGCACAAAAGAGAAAAACTGGGGGAAGGAAGGGATCGAGGGATGTGGAGAAGGGGAGAATTGAGTCAATAGAAAAGTTATGCTAGTTAATATAAGCCCACTTAGTAAAGTTTTCGGGGGCTTTTCTCTTCACAATATTAGACTAGATAATTTTGTATTCTTGGATAGATTTGATATTTTTTTACTCTAATGTAATTCATGTGTACATCCGTGGCCACGTTGAATTTTTTTTGTATGTACTACCCCTTGGGGTGTTTTTTTTTTTTTTCATTATGGCGTTATTTACCCGGGCAGATCGGACCGAATCAGAGTCTCACTTTCACCGATCTCCGCATTACTCGACGGAATACTTACGGAGTACTCCGTAGCAGATACCGGTATATATAAGTGTCCCTAATTTAGCCTCGTGGTACTCCTTATTGTTCGAAAACAACTTTCTATTCTCGATTCTTCCTTGGGATTGCATATGTTTGCCACCACGAGCCACTGTATATAGGTACCTAAACCAACCATATAATCCAGGGACAGAGGCAAAAAAAAAACAAAAAAAAAACAAACACAGTCAGCAGGCGACTTGGAAAGAAAAGAAAATGAGGAAGAAACCGGAGAGGTTGAACTTGTGACATGGTCCTTTCGGAACCGGTGAGCCTTAAACGAAAAGACGAGAACACGAAAACACGAAAACACGAAAACACCCCAAGGATTCCGAGTTCGGTGCGGAGTTCAGTGGGAACAAGGATTTGGAGAATCTCATTTCGATTGGTCGCACTTCATCTCTTCCCCTCTCCTCGGCCTTCCAGACTCGGCTCAACTCCGGATTTTATGGACGGAGCACTCCGGTACCGTTATACCCCCTTTTTTTTTTCTCCGCACTCTATTACAATCAGATAATGCGGAATATGGCATTTAACCGACTAGGATTGCTTTCATGTTCGTTCTATCTATTTCTCTTCTTCCAAAGTGCACTGTTCTTGGGTTTCACAAAACTAAATTGCACTATAATTCTAACAACTACTCCACATATGAATCGAGACCATAAAGAGAGTCATACGTTGTAGGTAGCGGTGTAGCTATAGCACCGCAATTCCCAGTCCTGGAATTACCTTGAGCTTAAGGCTTAAACTTTGGAAGCTCCAGAAATGATTCACCGGGAGCCAAGCCGGCCGACATTGCCTGGCGCAATTAATATGGGGTAGTTCCATACGATATGTTATGTTACAAGAAAATCGATTATATAGAGATACAACATACCCATTCCAATATTATATCTCTTCCAAAACTATATACAAGGTGAAATATCAGAATTAGAAAGTTATCCTAGCGAGCATCATTACACCTGGCAGTACTTCCCGAGGGCCGTAGAGGTAAAACAAATGACAAACTGATATAGAACAATTGCTACATACTCAGGGGGTGAAAGGAGAGATTCTAGAAGAGTTTAAGAGGGGTTCTAAGAAGATATATACCTGTTGAATACAGTAGAACGAGCGGTGCAAAATTATAGGAGCTTAAGAAAATCCGATGTGTATCACTGGAAGTAAATCTACTATTCTTAAATTCGATCCCCTTTGAGCGATGGGGTTTGCGCGATTCCAATATATGGTACCTTGGATTATAGGGTTAGTAAATATACATCTTGCTTTGTCGTTGTACCTCACCGGTCCAGAACTTCAGGACAATAACACCATCTTCTGGGTCCCAGCTAGTCATACTAAACTCATACGATTAGATTGTTCAAGGGTCACATCTCCTTAAGTGAAATGATGGACTCTTCTGTTTATCGAAAGATTGGCTCCATAAGATCGTCTCTTCGAAGGGGGAACATACTTATTACAGTGTTCCCTTCGACCTCTCGCTTTGTTTTTTCTCAAAAACTTCACCTTTCTTCACCTTGGTTCCAAACACCAAGAATAGATCTCCAAGTGTTATTAATTTCGCTTCGGATACATGAACGCAAAGAATATTCTCTTTGGGTCCTTTCCAAGATTGCTACTAGACCTTGTTGATCAACCCAAGTCAAAAGGATTATATACAATGGATATTGTCATTTCTTTCCTTCGAGTTTATTTGATAATCTGAGAAGGAACAATGATAGAATATCTTCTATAATATTGAAAAGAAAATACGTAGCTACAACCATCTATATAGGCCTAGCTCTTCGTCCTAAGATACATTATCGGAACACACAACAACGCATCACAGCTCAATACTCCAGCTCAAGAGTCCAAACAAACCAAAGCTTTATCCCCATTCTTGTTGCCTAATAAGCTAGCCAACCCTCAGCCTATTCCAAGTTTTGTGGGTCTTCTGAGCATGTCCCAGATCCTTGTCCTGCATGTCTGCTTTTGATATAATTTCTACCGTCCAGCTCTAGGTCTAGTCGCACGTCCGTCAAAGGTTATATATAGGAAATTCTCCTGCACAGAGTAGGGATTTTTTACCGCTTCCATATACACCTAAACAGACATCGCAACAGACATCTAAAAAGGGCATCCAAAAGTACTACCAAAAGAAGACATGGCAAGGCCGCATAAGTGGCCGACTATTCTTGTATACTTAAATCGAGCTAGACGCTCGTCTCCAAAAAATCAAACACTTCCTCCCCTGGTGTTAAGTAAATGTATGTAAGGATGTACGTCAACTACTCAATGTAGGTTGTCGATTTTAAAGACACTTTCTATAAATAGAACACATAGTCAAACATTACCCCGTACAGCATACGTGCTCCGTTTGAAAAACCAAGAAATATAGTCACTAGGACGATCACGCAAAAAGATGTAACATAGATGAGCATTATCTTGCAATGACTGGAGGTCAATTAGCCTCCCAAAAGAGCCACAATAACACGTAACCAATAGTGCTGCAACCTCATTTACTGTGTATCTTAGCTCACTCTAAATATGTCCAAGTATAAATGTCACTTCTCGCTCAATCCTGAAGAGTAAAAATAGTTGATAGCGGCATCAAGTCCATGTGATGCCTAATTATAGTATGTCGCAACAATCCTGCCGATATTTAAACCAATCAACTTTCGCTAGTCACTGTGATGATGCGGGGATATCACCCAGCAGTGCAGGAATCCACTTGATGTAAGTGTGATCTTCCTCAACTATCGAGTGATAGTCTGTCGAAAGTTTCGAATCAAATGGACAGGAAGACCAGGGTGGGGTTCCAAGTGCAGTTGGCTGCAGGGCATATTGGCCACCCTATCGTCAAACCCTAACATCCGTCACATCACACTAAACTAGGCTTCCAATTGGGTATTTTAATTGGCTGGATGGGACGGAAGCTTTCCAAAGTTAGAAACTTAAGTGTGATGGTGGTGATTTGTGCCCCATCGTGCATGGGGTGGGCGCTTAGGCAGAAGAAGGTGGTTAGCAGTCCGTTCCCCTCTCCCCCTCAAGTGTATATAGCCGCCCTCATCTGTCCCCCAGCAGACTACGTTTCGCATATTGTTTGAGATTTCCTATTTTTTTTTTCTTTCTATTTTTGCCTCTTCTATTTTCGTCCTGCGTCTTGGCTGGCCCAAGTTCTTCAACTCCTTTCTACATCTACGTCAATAATCTGTTTCTCTCCTTGCCTACTCGGATAACTTTGTTGATCAAGGTTTCCCTGTGAAGACCAAATTCAAATAACATCAACTACATTGTTGTTTTAAACTTCTTCAACTATTGTGGATTCTTCATCAATCAAAATGTACACAACCACTGCCCGTGTCGTCAAGCCAAAGCTGTCCCTAAGCATCTCTGCTGTGCAGAATGCTCCTCGACCAACATTGTCGCTCAAGTCACCAAGTGCTCTTCCTCGCACACCTATCTCGCCAGTCTCCGCGGCGAGCCCGACCAGCAAGAGATTCTCCTCACTGCAAGTTCCAAGCTATGCATACACAAACTCTTGCTCATCGAAGAGCATCCTCAAGAAGCACTCGTCCTCGCGCGCTGCTACTGTTGACAAGCGTATACAATTCAAAGTGACACCAACTGTCCACTGTGTGACGCCAATTGAGAATCCAGATGAATATTATGGCAAGCACATGAAGATGTCTCGAGAAGAACGGCGATGGACGGTCCGACAGTGAGATCAAGTTTGAGATTTGTATCACTAATGACCGTCCACGCCTGGAGTAATTGGGAGCGACCAGGTGCTTCTGAATGACTCGGAGTTTACATCCTGCTTTTGGAATGATGCCACGCCCTGCACCCTAGGTCTCTTGCTGGCCACCTCAATCCACACAGCACCTCGCGCACCTCACAATCGACATCCTCAAATTGCAAGATGAGCTCCTAGAAATGACAGAACGACGCATTAAAGTGTGCATCCAGCCTTGTCTCAAGATCAGGTTTTGGATGATTATGTTGCCTCTCGCGCTTTTGGCTATCCCCCAATTCGTCTGTCACTCATGTGGGATAAATCGGCCTTTTGATACACAGTGCACATTCTGTTCTTGGAAGGAAAACGATGTATAAGTGTTTTGGAGGAACAATATATTTATGACGTTATGATGGGACTTGGATTGACGATTTTTGATTTTGGAGTATAGATGTTTTAACCTAGTCGTTCGTTATTGCAAATACAACGGTCTCGACCCTATATTGACATTCTCGATTACAATAGCAGTAAATTCATGATTCGTAGGTAATATTTCTCGCGACAGTACGGAGCTCTCCGTAGATCACCATAGATTGCTGTTTTGGGACACGCTTTAGGGCTCCAATTGAGGGCTTCTCCGGCCCGTGCGCGTCCGATCTTTTTCGCCCCTGTCGCCAGCCGGATGTCAAACATCTTACCAATGTTATTCTCGGTGACTGCTGCTGCGAATTTTCGCAGATCGGCGATAAATGCGAGGAGATGTTTGAACTCCCGCCGTGGCTTGCTCACATTGGCAATTGAAACGTCATGGTAAGCGGAGGTGAACGCCAGTCCAATAAAAAAGCTACCCGACTAATTGGTTGTAAACAACAGTGACGATACATCAGTAGCCATCGTTGAGAAAACAAAGAAAGACCCCAGAAGTGCAGCTAAAATCCATTTCCTTGAAAATGTAACGGCCGACACGCGCGCACATCGGGGAATTCACCCTATCATCGCCCTCGAATCTCACCAAGACAACCTCGCAAACCTTGTACAGAAAGCCCTTAATCACCTACCGGAGTCAAAAACAGGCGATGGACTCAAACTTGCAGATGGAACTCGTCGCCGCCTCCCAGATTTCATATCCGCCACAAGAGGCCCCGGAATGCGGTCAAACCTGTCCGTTGGCCTCGACACTGGAAAAGCGCTGTCGGTTGCATGGCAGATCCCCATGGTCGGAGTGCATCACATGCAGGCACATCTTTTGACACCTGGGCTCGTATCATGTTTGGAAAATGAAGCCAAAGCCGACCCACCCGCAACGACGCCCGAATTTCCCTTCCTGTCCATTCTCGTCTCTGGCGGCCATACGACTCTAGTTCAATCCAAAGGTCTCACAGACCATAAGATACTCGCTACAAGCGAAGATATAGCTATTGGAGAGGCACTCGATAAATCCGCACGAGATATCCTACCCGAGTCTTTGCTTCAGGGAGCTAAAAGCACCATGTACGGCAAGAGTCTAGAGCAATATGTCTTCCCCAATGGCAAAGCCGATTTCGCGGATTACTCGCCACCAGAGACTCGGGGTCAAGAAGTAGCCAGACGTGTAAGCGATTGGGGCTGGTCTCTTACGACCCCATTTGCGAATACGCGAACCATGCAGTTCAGCTTTTCTTCGATTTCGAGCATGGTTGGGAAGATCATGCAAAGTAACGGTACGAATATTAAGATATCAGATGCAGAGCGTGTCGATCTAGGCCGCGAAGCCATGCGTGTCTGTTTTGAACACCTTGCTTCGCGCACCGTTATCGCTCTGGAGACTCTGCGGCCACACAATACTGGCAAGGATGAGATCAACACCCTCGTTGTCAGTGGTGGTGTTGCCGCCAACCAGTTCCTCATGAAAGTGCTTACTTCATTTTTGGAAGTGCGCGGCTTTGGCCACATGAAGATCGTTGCGCCGCCTCCATATTTGTGTACCGACAATGCGGCCATGATTGGATGGGCAGGCATTGAGATGTTCGAGGCTGGGTTCCGATCCGACCTTAGCTGTCGTCCTCTGCGGAAATGGACCCTCGACCCGAAGGCTGATGATGGAGGCATCCTTGGCCCAGGAGGCTGGATCAAAGAGGGATAATTGCAGTTGGATGGCTCCCTGCTTGTATATTAGTGACATACCCTTTATGTATAATAGAGCGTGTAAAGTAGTGCAATCGCATCCCCATAAATTTCTTGATGCAGCCCATGAATTGTAAGGAATAAATTTTGAAAAAAGGAGTCATAGTGCATTATGGACATGTAAGACCCAGAATCATCAGAGACGCCGATGCCATGTAACCTCCGAGTCCACTCATCACCCATGCATCCTCCACAGTAGGGTATCGAAGATGCGCCGTTGCAACCCATGAAAACGAACCAAACTCGCGACCGGCCGACTGTGCAATGCAAGTACTTTGAGATAATGAAGTCATAATCGTGACGATCAGCCGCCGACGGGGGGACCGCTTCGCTGCAGCGAAGCAACCTGTTTTCTAAGCTCCAAGAACAAGTCTTTCCCATTCGCCATGTTGTGCGCTATAGATATGGTTATTGTTTGTTCAAAAGGTATGCTGTGATCGAAGGCAGACTGTACCCTTGGGACCCCAGACAGTAGATCGTTGGGTAGGACCGTCTTTAGAATGAGATTTGTAGGGTGTCGACAACTTGGCTTCTGTATCAATGGCGCATGGATTAGGCTTGAGTAGATATGGAAGTAGCGATAAGACGTACCATGAGGCCCTGCTGTATCGTAGAAGCTTGATCAGCTCTTGTACTTGCAGATTAGATGGATATACATACCCTTCAGACCGTTCTTAACCTCTGCGGCGTTGAAGCCCTGTACAGGGACATGCTGTTCTTGCGGAGGGTTGGATGCGCCCCAAGCAGCACTGTTATCGCGTGCGCTTCCCTGTCCTCCTGTTTTATCACGGTTGTTCGAGTTACGTTGCGACGCCTGGCGACTGGGTCCACCCCGCCACCTGAGGAAGACAGTAATAGTTAGCGAAGCTGAAGCGCGCGGTGTTTTGGGGTGAATAACGCGTACCTGTTGTCGCTAGAACCGCTCATGTTGTAAGTCTATGTAAGAAGGAAAAATCAAAGCTCGATCGAATGAATAAAGTCGTAAATAGCTCGCAAGGGACAGCTGTGGATGTCATGTCCCTATGTCAAGCTGTGGAGGTGCTTCAAGTCCAGATTGGCGCCTCAGGCCAACAGGCCCAGACAGCTCGGGTGTCTCCGCCTTGACCAGATAACCAAACACCTCATCGCGCCTTGCAGCTTCCACGGGCTCTGGCGTCCTTTGCGTCCTTTGTGTCCATTCGTTTCTACTTTTCTGTCGCATGACTTGAGAATTACGGCTTGATTTCCCCCGAGGCCCTGCCTGAGTCGGGCTCTGAACGCGACCTGACGCCGTCCGATTAACAATCGCCATCCCCAACGAGCAACATACACATACCCGAAAGCTCGTCCTTGAATTATGGCACCGACGGTCCGACATTCAATCTCTGGTCGTCCATCACGCAGTAAACCTAGGTCTTCTCTCAAATCATCCAACAGCGGCTCCTTCGGTTCCCCTGACGGCCCTCCTTCGAAGAAGCGAAAGTACGTTCCAGGTGGCCCTGGAGGAGGAGGAAGATTCATCGACTTCGACGCTGCAGCTGCAGCTGCCGCCACCGCCGCCCAAGAAATTCCGAAGAAAACGACTCCCCATCGCCACCCCGCAAGTGCTCGAAGCCGTCCACCCCGTGAAATGGACCAACCATTCTTAGCCCCTCCGCCGCCACCCATCATACCAACAACACCACCCTCCATGTCGCGTCCAAGGCGCGACAAGAACCAAACCCGCGGTCGGTTTACCTCTTCCACGGCCGCCGCTCTTGCTCTTCAACAAGGTGATGGATACAAACCACGCGAAGAACGCGGGTGGGAAGAGTTCCATCCCGACTTGGACATCGATGGCAAAATTGCTGTCTTTACGTCTGAAGAGGTCGATGCCCCAGATAACTCTACTCCTATCTTGAGTCTAGAGGCACTGGCTGGTGCGACAGTCTCGGACCTTTCAGGATCACCAGTTATTATATCAGGCGAAATGGCTTCTCCAATCCCAATCAAGCGCAGGCCTGGCCGTCCACCTCGTCGTCCTGAGGCCATCCTTAATGCCCTTCTCGCCCAGCAAGGACAAAAGATCATACCACCCCCAGGCCCCAACCCCCGCGAGAAACTAACACTACCCAAGCCGTCGTTCAGACTGCGTGACCCTTTCACATTCTATGAGAAGAAGGGCGTCGGGCATCAAAACTATGTTGACCGGACCATGGCAAACGTGGGATACCAGGAGAGCGATCTCTTCCTCCGCCATGATCGGCGATTTATTCGAATGACTGAAGGCACTCAAGAAGATGACCTTGATGTCATTCAACCTGCCATGACAGATGGGGACCTTAACACCACCATTGGGCGTGTCGAATATGACATGGACGAGCAGGATGAAAAATGGTTGGAAGAATATAATGGCAAGCGCCGTGAAGATCAGCTCGAACCCATCAAGCCCGCTGTGTTTGAAATTACCATGACCAAAATCGAGAGGGAGTGGCATGCCCTTGAGAAGCGCATCCCCAAGCCGAATCCCAAACCCCCCCAGACTGGACGTCTTCGCTCTAGCTCTGCAGCTGCGGTCAATGGCGAGACTGCTGGACCGGGCGAAGAACAAGACAGCAAGTGTGCTATCTGTGACGATGGAGATTGTGAAAACTCAAATGCAATCGTTTTCTGCGATGGTTGCGACCTTGCAGTCCATCAGGAGTGTTATGGTGTCCCTTTCATTCCAGAAGGTCAGTGGCTTTGCCGTAAATGCCAGTTGCTGGGAAGAGGGTCCACCAATTGTATTTTCTGCCCAAACACCGAGGGTGCATTCAAACAAACAACCTCATCCAAATGGGCTCATCTACTCTGCTCTTTCTGGATCCCTGAAGTTTCTATTGGTAACCCATCTCTTATGGAGCCGGTGACCGATGTCGAAAAAGTTCCACGCAGCCGCTGGAAGTTGAATTGCTACATCTGCAAACAACGGATGGGTGCATCTATTCAATGCAGTAACAAAAACTGCTTTGTTGCCTTCCATGTCTCATGTGCACGCAGAGCTCAACTCTATCTAAAGATGAAGGTTGGCCATGGTCTTATGGACTCCCACCTTCTCAAGGCTTTCTGCGATAAGCACGTTCCTCCTGACTGGCGATTGGAGCATGGTACTGATGCTGCAACTGCTGATGCCATCGAATATTACCGTAATACCATGCAAGGTAGACGGTGGGGAGACAGCCAAGCTGCAGCACTATCAATGGGCCCGGCACACCCTAGTGATGGCGGAGAAGAGGATCGTACACTCACTCCTCGCCTTACCCTAACAGTAGGCGGCAATAAACGGAAACGTGTTCCCAGAACAATCTGGAAGCTGCCCTCTGGTGCGCCAGTTATTCCCCAGGTTGTGCTAAACTCAGTAATTGCTTCTCTTGGGCGATTTACGGTCCGCCAGAGGAAGCAATATGCCGAGGATGCATCCAAGTATTGGACATTGAAACGGGAGGCGAGACGTGGAGCAGCATTACTCAAGCGACTCCAGTTGCAGTTGGAGACCTTCTCATCTATGGAAATGACACGAAGAGACTATGTGGCAATGGGTGTTCCTGGACACAAACGTCTGGAGCGTCGCATTGAGTTTGGTCAACGACTTTACAAGGATCTCGATCGATTGAGGATGCTATGCGATGAAGTGAAGAAACGGGAGAGGGAGAAGTTAAAGGATGCAGAGATGCTCCGTAACGTTGTCGATCTTGTCTACTTCCCTACGTTCCCACTGCTGTGGCCTATCCTGGAAAAAGCTCAACTGTAAGGTACATTCGTCCTATTTTGTCAACGCTCATACTGACTTTATCCCAGGCTCGATGGAAAGGGTGTGTTTGCAGCCGGCTTGATGTCAATCCGACAAAGGCTCAACGAACGATTCTATCCGTCTGTTGCTGCCTTCTCTGCCGATTTGGCCAGCCTTTTCACCTCGGAAATCGGTGTTGAGCCCGCTGGTGATACCGCGGAACTCCAAGCGCAGATCAGTGGTCGAGCCCCGGAGCTCAGCCTGGAGCAACGCGAGAAGAGAAAATTGGCAAAACGGATAATCAAAGTCATCCAGCCTTCCCTGGAGGATGCGATCAGGAAAGAGAGCGAACTCAACCGCAAACCATTCGAAAAGGAGTTGAAGGAGCTTGATGTGATTCTTGATCACAGTGTGATGTCACGCAATGGTGATTCCGTCGAACCGGAAGGTGATACTGAGTTGTCTGGTCACCCCGATGCCATGGAAGGGGTTGAAGAAACACTTCCTACGACAGAGCCTCCATCGGAAGCCCAGCCTAAAGATGAACAACACCCTGAGGCAGAAGAGCTGCCTCCTGCTGAAGACCCTATGAAGAGTGTCCCCACCTACTATCGACATCCAACGCCTGTCTTGACCGAGCAAGACCAGCAGCTACCTTTGGCTTTGGGTGGCATTCAATGGTACATGCAGCCATTCGACCCTATCGGTACAACTGTTCACGAGGAACGGTGGACTGGACGGGATGTCATGCGTGGAATGAGTGAAGAACTCAGCGAACTGGATGAGGATGAACTCGAAGGGTTGAAGGACTTAGTTAACGATGGAGACCTGAAGGGCCAGACCACCAGCACCCCGGCTGCTTCACAACAGAATCCCCGTCGAACTCGACGTTTGCGAGGCTCACGATGATTGCTTTCTGGACATGATTCGTATGGGGTTCATGAATTTGATTTTAGCGCATTCCAATTCCAAGGAGTTAGTTTTAGTTGTATGAGTATTTGCACTGTTCTATAGCTAAGAAGGCTTTAATATGGCGATTGCTTCGGTCTTGGCATAAAATCTGTTTGTCATAGTCAAGATAACCCCCTGCATAAACTCGCATTTTCAAAAGAAAAAGAAAAATCAGAGATTTTTCTTATTTTTCTTATTTTTCTTCTCCAAATTCACCCAAATTCACCCAATTCACTAAAAATCCACGCAGTTTGCACCGCTGCCTGATTCCTCGGGTGTGTGCTTCCCGGTGCTTAGCGTCCGCTCTTATCAGCTTTCCAACTTCTCTTTCTTCCTTCTTCCAACCTACACCTTCAGTCCTTTCATCATGGCGGACTACGACAACGATTCCAGCCGCTACGCGGGTATGTCTTTTCGAATTATTTCGATGCGCTTGAAAATATTTACCCTTTTTCGATAGACGAGCCTCGATACGATCGCGAGCGCAGCGCCTCTCCTCGCGATGAGCCTCGAGCCGACCGCGACCGTGCTCGCAGCCGCTCCCCGAATGGCCGCTCTGATGACAGGTATTTATTTGTCTAATCTGGTATATCAATTCAAAGCTAATAACCCCACAGAGCTCCTCTGGCTCGCAAGCCTCTCGAGGAAGATGATGAAGGTGCCATCAACTCTGGCTCTAACCTCTTTGTTACTGGTATTCACCCGCGCCTAACCGAGTCCGATATTTCTCGTCTGTTCGAAAAGTACGGCGATGTTGATAACTGCTCTATCATGCTTGACCCCCACACCAAAGAGTCCCGTGGATTCGGTTTCGTGAACATGGTCACTGCCGAGCAGGCTGATGCCGCCAAGGAGGGTCTCCAGGGTGAGGTCATTGAAGGTCGCACCCTGAGCATCGAGAAAGCTCGTCGTGCCCGTCCTCGTACCCCTACTCCCGGAAAGTATTTCGGTCCTCCCAAGCGTGGTAAGTTAGATATCATCCCTTCCTCTTGCGCTTTGCGTCAGCTTACATTTCCTTTCTTCAGATGGCCCTGGTGGACCCCCTGGTGGTCCTGGTGGTCGTGGAGGTGGTCCTCGCCGTGACCGTTATGATGACCGCCGTGGCCCCTCCGGTGGCGGCTGGCGTCGTCGCGACGATGACTACTCCCGCTACGGTCGCTACGATTCTTACAATGATCGCCGTGATTATGGCCGTGACTACGGACGTGACTATGGCCGTCGTGACTACGGCGGTGGTGGCCGTGACTATGGCGGTCGCCGTGAATCACGCGATGACTACGGATACCGTGGAGGTGGTGACCGCTACGGTGGTGGCCGTGATGACCGTTACAGCCGTGATGATCGTCGTGGAGGTGGTGATGAATCTCGCGGCGGTGGTGGTTACTACGATCGTGATGCCAACCCTCCTAGCTTCGATGCTGCTGGTCCTCCCCGTGAGGCTCGCGACCCCTACGCTGGTGGTGGTGGACGTTCCTACGAAGGGCAAGCGCGCAGCAGCACTGGCGGTGCTCCTGGCGCTGGCGGCGGCGGCGAGGATCGGTACGCTGGCAGGTAAAGTGCCTCCCCTTGTTTTCTAACCAGAACAGAGACTGGCCTTTGATGTCTCCTGGTTCCTGGTTCCTATGTTTCACCAAATTGCCCACTTCCTCCTCCCCTTTTCTTTGTTTCTGGGATTGTTTTAATGCGGGATTTGGGCGACGGGCCACGGGGCGTCGCTGTCTTTGTTTGTCAATTGCTCTCGGCTCGACGATTTTTAAAAAAGAAAAAAACGGAGCGCCACAACTCGGCAACTTCATCGCACACTTCGGTCGCTTGATGATGTGTCTTTTATGTCTGTTCGCGACGCAACTTCGGGGAAAAAAAACTTTTAGCGGCAAAGGGACAGAAAATTATGCGCTGTAATTCGGTTATCTCAGGGTCAGCAAATTCGTCACACAGCTACAGCTACAACTTCACCTCTACACCATCTCCAGTAACGGCTCGATTGTATTCGACTTCTCTAAACAACTGAATGATCAACCATTCGCCCAATTCAAAGCCGTCGACTTTGCACTTTGCGCTTGTAGTTTCAACCTTTAAACCCCTGGTATTAATCAATTTTGGATATTGACAATGCCATTAAAGGTGAGATGTGTTTCGCAAGCTGACCTATCTAGGGGGTTTTTTCTTGGAATCCTTTATTCTTCCCCGATTATTTGGTCGGGGAATGACAAGCTTGTACTTATTCTATCTAGGAACCTCTCTGAAGTTCCAAACTTGGATATATATATATATCGGCTTCCATATTTCGATGGTTCTGTGCGCCCTCTACAAGAGCTTCACTCGGTCTGGGGCTTTGGCATGAAATACACACTACAAGGCTGTGAGACTCCAATGTCCCTTTTTGAATCGCCCCTTATCCAAGCCGCTCTTTGTCCTCGAATCCATGGCTGTGTGGATTTCCTTTGATTAATGAGACTTAGATCTTTAACACAAAATAATACATACTCGATCCACTAGGGCATTTCTACTTCCCTATATACAGACATGTAGGTACATCCTTCATTACTATACCAGAAGTTTCATCCATTAGGTAGAGAATCATCACCTTGGTTTAAGGCATTATTCTCACTATCTTTCTTAATATCCTTCAAGCCCTACTAGCAAGACAGTAGAAGACATTGACCGGGGTATCAAATGGTGAACGTCTTAGCGTACATCAAAGTCCACTCAGAAGCTTTTCTTTGTGAAGCCAAAAGCAAGGGGAAAAAATAAAACCAATCACAGAACAGCCTATCAAGCACCATCAAACGCCCAAGAAATCCCGTACCATTTTGTCTCCTACTCCGACTCTTTCTTAGTCTCGCCCTCCACTTCATTACTCTTCTGGAGCAAGAACTCGCCGAGCACACGGAGAGGATTGGCAGGCCTAGCGCAAAAAGAGAGAGAGACAAAGAGATCAGTAAAACCATCTAGCAGACCGACATAGAAAAGCTAGCTAGCCATAGTATTCCACTCACTGTTCGCGCGCAACAGACTTCATCCCGTCAAGCAAATACGGCACGACCTTCTCATTGAGATAGACGCGCGCAGGTGCGCCACCGGGGCGAATCTGGCCCGCAGAGATATTGCCCAAATCGCCAAGCGGCGTGTTGGAGTCAGTGCCGTTTGTTTCGCCCATTATGGATGTGGGTTTTGGTTGGGGCGCTATGGTGGACGTAGGAGCTGAGGAGGCGGGTGGATCTGAGATCATCAGGGTGGGAGGCTGCACAGGTTAATTGAGAGCCTGGGAGGTGTATATTTTGGGAAGTGGGAGTCGCAACGGTGGAATCGGCGAGTGCTTGCGGAGCGGAAGCTGTGGAGCTCTTTGTCGATCCGTGAGGGAGGGAGAGCTGGAGCTTACTGGTAAGGCCATTTTTATATCTAGAGATTGCACTTAGGAACTTTGTGGATGGTAGTCAGATGGCATTTCTTTCTTTTTCTTTCTCAGACTGTCTTTGTTTAGTTCCTTTTTCTTATACGTTTGCCTGTGCCTCTTCGTCTATGTCATATGCAAACAGGACAAACATCCAAATGGAGTTATATCGAGCACGTGATCTCGTGTTTGAAACCTGTTCGCGAGACACGTCGGTCGTGTCTGCCTATACTCGGAGCCTCGAGTCGTTGGGACTGGTTGCATCCATGGACACGAGAGATCATGTCCTTGCTGAACTTTTGGGAGACGCAGCGTCCCGCGAAACGTCGGCGGACTTTTGAAACAGAGGATTCTAGTACAGATGCAGAGCCTAAACCACCACCGAGTCCGACTCCTTCGGTCTCAGCGGGGGAGCTCCCCGCAGCACATGATTTAGGGATAATTACCAACAGCCAGACGGAACTCGAAACTTCCCTTCCTGCGATCAAGACCGACGAGGACGCAATCGAGGAGTACGAGGCATCAAAGAATGACGCACAGATGGGATTACATGTGAGGCTACGAGATGGTGCCTGGCAGAAAGGCAAGAGCTCCATATATGTGGATGCATTTAACCTGGCACTGGAAACCGTGCTGGACGAGGAATCGCATCTCTTTAACGAGGCCGAAATGGAAATCTTTACTCAGTGGCGGGAGCTGTCCTACGAATCACAGTATTTGTATGTTTTCTGTAGAATGTGATGAGATATGGTTGAGATTAATTTTCCACCAGGTATGTTCGACTATTCCTCCGCAAGACCTCCGCCTGGCACCGTATCAACCGGTTGAGCTACTACTCCGACATCTCGGATTTATTCTCTGTTGCCGAGGACCTACAGCGGGACCGGACCCTGCCTGATTCAGAACTCGGAAATAAGTTTAGATTTGCAGAAGGCATAGAAGCGATCACAACGCTGGAAGAGGCTTCATCGCTTCTATTGCTGGAGGAACTCAAGGTCTTTGCAAAGGAGGCAAAGGTTCAGGGCAAGAGCAAGAAAGAGTTGCTGGCGGCTCTTCGCGAAACGAGCCAGACACAAACAGGACTCAAAGACACGAATAACAGAGACGGACATTTTACTCAGAAGATATTGGACTACACGGGTGGATGTATCAGGGTCTCGCCAGTGCCTCGTGCTCTCTTTGAGCGAGTGCACCTGGTATTCTATCGTTCCACTGAGTGGAGCGAGAAGTCCCTCACAACAATTATCCTAGCCAAAATGACCAAAAGAAACTTCCCCGAATATATTGTCTGCCGCTCTAATTCCATCTTCTCGTCCAGAGAAGCGCTACTGGAATTTGAATCAGCAATACAAACCCAATTCGCCATCGACAACATCCTTGAATCCAACGGCCCAGTCACGACCGAATCCCTTCAACAGATTATAGACCTTGCCAACAAGTCCCATCCTCGATGGAAAGAGCTAGTCAACCAAGAGCAAAAGAAAGAAGACAGCATCTACGAAAGCGGCGAAGGTGCATATCTACGCCGCTTCTCACCAGCATGGGTACTCACAAGAATTATCCACAAGAGTCTCCACCCGCTCGGGCGGTTCAAGGAGCATAAACGCGAGCACGAGGTGCTAGAGGAACTTCTCGCCCAACGTCTTTTCCACGCTGCGCGGCGCGGTGCATGGTATCAGCGCAAGGCCCTGCTGGAAGAACACTACATGTGGGCGCTTACGCCTACAGATGGGCGCAGCGAAGAAACCCAGCGCAAGCATTGGAAGAAGCTTGCACTGCAGACGTGCGAGGCCGGACTTGAAGACCCGCTGTGCCATCTAATCTTTCATTATGACTTGCAGAAGCGGATCACGAAGCTGGAAAAGGCGCTTCGGGTAGTGAAGCGCGAGCAGCATGATTTCGGACATGTCATGCTAGGCAAGCCTGCTGAGCGGACGATTGAGGGTATCCGTATTGACACGGGTGATACTCCGCGGAAGGGGAAAGCGACTGTTTGGGTTGATGAGAGAGAGGGTGGCGAGTGTAGGGTGGAGAGTATGTGTCTGAGTTGGTACCGTGATCAGGGATGGAAGGGATATCACTCTGAAGGGGGGATTGTGCGGACGCTGGTGAGTCTTACCACGTACAAAGCAGCATTGGAATATTCCCGAAGACCGACCTGACTCTGACCTTGAACACAGTTCGGCTACCTCTTCTACGATATCCTGTTTACCTACGTACCCAATGTCTTCCAGACTGCGTTTCAGACGTGCCCGCTCGATCTCCACACTGATGTCTTCTACCCGTCTCGTGCATCGGAGATCAATCACCGGCTGGTTGAGATCACGAACGGGGATGCGGAGCGGATAATCCGTGAGATCCATAATCGTGAGGCGGAGGCGCAGCCCTGTGCTGTTGGACTTGATTGGTCTTTCGACCTAGATGACTTGGTTGAGATCGTTCAGTGTTTCCGGGGAGATGCACTTGCTACCATCTGCAAGGTAATGGCGCAGGAATACCAGCAGCGCGGTGGGGGAATCCCGGACTTGTTCCTCTGGAATTATGAGACGAGGACAGTGATGTTCGCTGAGGTGAAGTCGGAGAATGATCGGCTAAGTGATACTCAGCGCCTTTGGATCCATATTTTAGTTGGAGCTGGTGTTAAAGTTGAGCTTTGCAATGCTGTGGCGAGGGAGGTTAGAGCTGAGTGCGATGTGTAACGTCGATGCACGTTTTTCCTATTGGAAATATGTCTGCGTGAAGTTGTACATATAGCATAACCTTATTTTCTAGCACTCCAAATTACCACATGGGTCAAATGGTAGCTAGTATGTTAATGGTCGAGACCGGTTCACTGCACTACTTGAATACCCACTTTATATTGACAGGCTAGCGATCATTTGATGTCACAAATTATCTATATGGACATTTACTAGCCGGACCTACAACTACCAATGAATTCTAGAGCATTGATGAACAGGGTATCAAATAATCGTAATCTTTTTTGTTGTATCTAGCAGGAGATAGACCCTTCAGATACGACGATCACGACGATCCGATGGGTTCCCTCCGTCAACCACTCATCCTCCCAAAATGCGCTTATGCGACAAGGGTGGAGGCAGTGGCGCTCTCGTAGCGCCAGGTGGGGGGCAGGACACCGACGGTCTTGTAGTAACGAGACAGACGGTGGATGCGGGACTCGATCAGAATCAGGCGGAACTTGGAGTCCTTGTCCTTGCGGTTGCGCTCAAGGTGCTTGCGGACAGCGACGGCCTGGATGATTCGAGGTTAGCATAATCTGCAAGGATAAGGATGGAGAAAAAAAGGTTTTTACCTTCTTGATCAGGAAGTAGAGGTCCTCGGGGAGTTCGGGAGCGAGGCCTGTATTCCAAAATCTCTCTGTCAGTCTAGATGTTCTTGACCAAGCAGAGGCTTAATTGCTGGTGCATTTCTGCGAACCAGTGTCGGGGAGAGAGACGAGCATTTGACGCTTCGAAGCCAATGGTTCTTTTACCGAACCAGAAAGGCTTGTCCGCACAAATTGTTCGCTCTCTTCACCCGACGGATGTGATTATATGGGCGGAGGGAGTCGTACCGCTGGACTTCAAGATACGGAGGATCTTGTTACCTGCGCAAAAATGTTAGAAAATTTCGATCCTCAAATTCCTAGGCTCGCAGTTCTCCGGATTTCCATACCAGTAACAATCTTGACCTGGGCAACACCGTGGGAGTCACGGAGGACAACACCGATCTGGGAAGGAGTGGCACCCTTCTTGGCCAGCTTGCAGATGTGGTCGACAACCTGGTCGGGGGTGGTCTTGAGCCACGCGGGGGCGGCGCGGGAGTAGGGGATGGCGGAAGAGGCAATGCCCTTGCCCTTGCTGTGAAGACGACCCATTTTGGATTGGTGATGTGTCCGGCGGAGGAAATCTGGTCGGTTGTCGGCGTGGATGAAAGATCGAAAATCGAGAAGTGAGAGGGTGTGAGTGTGGACGGGAAAGATGGGGCCTGTGTGGGGTCACGTGATGGGTTTCGCTTATTTCTTTTCTTCGACAAAACTTCACTTCGTTTCCCTTCAAATTTTGTTCCAACTTCAACAACCAACAATCTCAATTTCGCACTTGAGTTGACTGGAATTAATGTTTTCTGGTTCAACTTGAGCGCAAGTTGTATTTTATACGCTCGACACGCCTTTCATTCTATCGCTACCGTCAATATCAGGTTAGTCCCAGCTCTTTTTTGCTCAATTCCCAACCCTCCCACATGATGATACAACGCATTTGTTTTACTTTATTTTCTGGTACCTCTTATGTCAGAGCTAGTGTTTTCGGATGCTAGCTCGATGATCTACCTGGACTTCTGATCTACCTTCTTCAACTTCAAGACTTCTGTTATGAGTTGCTCGACCGTTATACTAACTGCGGTTATAGGCATTGATTGTTCATTTAGCTAAGATTACTGAATACAAATACATGTGTATGGCATCAGACTCATGTCTCCATCGTACATTCGTCCCTTTAGTACATGACTAGATTGCTTTGCAAGGTTCTCTAGTATTAGATGAATAGACTTTTTTTCGAGGAAAGTATGTAGTAGTCAAAATGGCCCTTGGTCCTTAATAGCCTCAGCGCCTGAGTCGTTTGGACATTCTCCGTGTCTCTGTTGTTTGAGCAGCAGAAACGATGTTCTCGACTTCCTTTCGCTTCCTGCTGATGGACTTCTTGGCATCATCTATGTCCTCGACCTTGACTTTGACATCGATGTCTTCCTCCTTGGGAACTTTCAAAGAGAGAGTAGTTGTGACTTTCGTCTCGACATTGATATCAGCCTCTTCGTCTTTCACTTTCACTTCGACCTTCTTCGTTGCAGCGAGTTTGTCTGCAAATGTCCGCAGGTCCGCAGTGAAAAGCACACTATGAGCCCATCCCGCTTCCTTGCCCCAAAGCTTGCGGAAATGATTGGCAACAGCATCGTAAGTCGTCTTGTTCAAGTTCTTATTGGAGCTTTTTCCAAATCGATAG